CAATGATGGTTTGTGAATCCCCTTCTATATGCACAATTCTGGAACCCATGAGCAAGGGGCTCACTGAGACTTTAAAAAATATGAACTCTATTTGCAACCATTTATACTTCACTTCCAAATGAAACTCTGATCTCCATGTTGACCTAAAGTAGACAACCCTCTCCCCTAGTTAGTGAGAAATCTAAGGGAGTGTGAATGAATGATTTAATGCAGGGATGGACTGTCATAGCTGAAGGGATTAATAGGCAACAGCCTAGAATTGAAAATTGACAGTCCCCTGTGTTAGGAGTATTAAAACTAATTTTTGACAGCCTCAGTAATCTGTAAGGCCAAATAAGGTTTAGCTTCTCCAGTCCTCTAGTTTTGGTAATGTTCTAAGAGCAGCATTGATGGCGGTAATACAAGGGTTAGGTTTGCACAGCTGAATTGGAAGGACTTGATTGTTGAGCAGTTGAGGGAAAGATCAGAATCAGATTGGCGCCCCACAGAGCACGCACATGCACATTCAACGTGCATGGGGAACATCTCCCATACATGTCATGGGAAGATGTTCCCAATATGGGTGGGGCACACTGATACAAATTCATTGAGGGGTATTGCCAGGTGGTGGTCTCCTGGTTATGCTCTGGAACTGAGGTGTTAGGGTCTATAGAATTTCTGTAAGGGGACCACAGTCCTTGAGAAAAAGCCTGAATTGCTTGTTCAGATGGGTTACAAGATGTACATATGAGTTGGCTGCTAGATTAGCTAAAATCAGGAACTTCATTGCACTCTGTAGATTGGGGATTTACATGTCCTAAGATTGATGTGTAATTTTTTTTGAGCAAAAGGTAAAGTATAATTGTGTATTAATGAAAAGGTCCTTTGTACAATGAGAAGCTGTACAAAAAACCAGGACCTCAAAAGGTCATCCTCAAAAAATTACAGTCAGAAGTAACCTCTTTAAAGTCAGCAAGAATAGACAACCAATTTCTAACAAAACCTAAAGCCAAATTGATGACTTCTTCCAAAGAGGATTTGAGATCAAAAACCCTGCTATTACTTTCTGTCCATACCACCCACAAAATTGCCAAGGGAATAGCAGAACAGCACCTCTTTCCTTTTTTCGTCATCCCTTGGATCTTCCATGCCTCCAGGCAAGCTTGAACTGAGGTCAGCATCATAGTTGTCAAGGCGATGCCTAGGCGGGCACCCTTGGAGGCTCACCTCGCCCAGTCGCCTAGCAGTTTTGTACACTGGGTTATAAAATACTTTTAGATTTTTAATTTTTTGACATAATAATTATAAAATAGACATTATTAAACTAGAATATTCATTTTATGTGTTTATATACTAATTTCTTTTTATTATTTTCTTATTTTGTTAGGGTTTAATCAATGCAAACATTGCTAGCTGCTGTATTGAACCCATGGTTCACAGTATCGATACACCTGTGTATTGGCAGAAGTGTATCGGTACTTATATCGATACTCCCCCTATTTTTTTATTTCTTGGGTTTTCAATTTCATTTATATATATATATATATATATATATATATATATATATATATTATTTTAAAAAAATGGGTCCCCGAAAACACCTGTAAACAGGTATCGGGACCCCAAAGATACAATACAATACACCCGATACGGGGTGTATCGTATCAAAATTTTGATCCTTGATTGAACCCTCAAAAATTTCAAAACTTGAACCTATAAGCAAGGGAAGAACTTAAAATTTTGTCTAATCAACACATTTTCTTCTTCCATGTCTTATTCTACTTCTTCTTCTTCCACCTTTTCTGTTCTTCTTTCCTATAACAAAAGTAGGGATTCAGCCCCTATATTTTTTTATTTTTCTTTACTTTGTTCCTTTTCTTCTCATAAAATGTTGATTTTCTAGACTTAAACATGAAATTTATGTTTTTCTTATGAAAATTATGAACAATTATTAAGGAAAGATGGTTATGGAATCTAGGGAACTACCCTAGGATCTAGGGTTTTACTTAAAAAAATCCATCGCCTAGGCGTCACCTAGGTGCCTGCCTAGGCGACCCTGTCGCCTAGCCTCGCCTTGGCGCCTTGAAAACCATGGTCAGCATACACCAAACTTAACCTCAAACTTCTTAAGAAGTGGTTCCGGATTTTAGTAACAAACTTGCAGTGTAAAAACAGATGGTTTATTGATTCTGTAAACACACCACAGGCTACACCTCAGATCATTACAATTAAAACCTTTCTTCACCAACATCTCTTTAGAGAGTCATTTCTCTAAAGCTGCCACCCAAACAAAGAACTTGACTTTGGAGGGTGCCACAGTCCCCCAAATAGCCCTGCTAGGAAAGAGAGCTTCAGACCCTCCCATCATGGAGTTGTAGAAGTATTTAACTGAAAACTCCCTGCTTCTGTTCCATCTCCACATTAAGGAATCCTCTGATTGCAGATTCAACACCTGAGACTGAAGCAAAGCTAGGAGATTTCCAACCTGCTGAATCTCCCAGTCATTGAAATCCCTTCTAAAGGCCGGAACCCAGCATATAGCATTGTCCCTCAACACAAAGGTGTAAGCTACCATTGCCTCTTTATCTACAGCCAGACTGAACAGGGTGGGAAACAGTTCCCTAAGAAATCTCTCCCCAGTCCAGGGATCCAACCAGAACCTGATCACTCTCCTGTCCCCAACTTTGAAGCCGATTCCCCTTCTGAACAGATTTGAATCATATTCCTTTCCACAGACTACACCCGTAAATCAACAAAGGTGGACCACTACCCCAACCACTGTCATCCAGCCCCACATGTTTCTGCTATTACTTTCCTCCAGAGGTTATCAGGCTCAGCATCAAACCTCCATAGCCATCTTCCTAGCAGAGCTAGGTTGTGTAATAGCTGTTTTAATGCCAATATTGTGGTGAGGTGGTCAGCTATGTGTTGTTTTTGTTCCTCTACTTGTTATTCCTTTCTGGATAGCATGTTTTCAGCTATTTTCTCCTTGTACATATTATGATCAAGCACGTGAAACTTTCAATCTGTTTATTTATCTCCTCATTGAAGTGGCTAATTTGATGCTAGACATCCTTTTGTTTTTTTTTTTTTTGATCAGCAACACAAAAATTGATTCATTAAATTTAAAATGAAGATATACAACAAGAAGTTGTGAGCAGAACATTTGATGCTTGTAGAGAACACTGATGTGGGCCCCACAGCTGTGGTCCCACTCTGTCCGTAGGGTAGAATGTGCCCTAGTCATCCTAGGGTTAGCTGATGGTCAATCTATTATTCCAATTGTTATTTATATTTCCAGTTGTTATTTATATTTCAGTTTTATATTGTTTTATGTGTTATGTAAATACCAAGGGCAGATTTGTCCTTTCATGTAACTAGCATAACCTATAAATACTAAATAGAAGTGGCGGCAGCAGAACATTCAGATTCTGTCCTTCCTTTCAATTCTTGTGTTCTACTGCTCTCTCTCTACTATTTCTCCTCTCTCCTCTATACCTTTTTCTCCTTTTTTCGAACCTGAAATCTATTAGGGTTCAAGACTGACTTGAACATCTACCATGCTAGACATCATGTCTTCATAATCCTAGGAGACCGACCACTGTCCTCCATAGAGGCCCCTTAAGGCAAGTCCAAACAAGTCATGTGGGGTTTGCGAAGCATTCCAACCTAAATTGTTGGTCCTACATGTATAGGCCAAATGGGCTACACAACAGGGGTGGCCTTCCCCCAACACCCAACTACCCAATCCTTGGTCATGGCAATATTCGATCCCAAGTCTCCATTACAACCAGCCAGACCTTACTAGGGGTTGGTTTTGTGATAGGTTACCTTGGTGTAATGGTGTAGGTGCCAAGTGTTGACGCACTATAGGTTTCCTCCATGTCAACCTCCAAAGATCATAAAAGTACAAAAGCATGAGATTAGATGCCTGATAAAAAAAACTCCTCTAGGTTCCATTTTGTGCTGACTTTTCTTCCAGTCCCTGACTACCTATAATAAGTCCCACCCAAGATCAAAATGGGAAAAGGGAAAACTAAAGGACAATTCTGGAACTTATCAACCTTATTCACTCACACTGTTTTCGCTTTAATTAAACAGAAGCATTGCTCAACCAATAGCTCTTTTTGTCATTCATTATCTCAGATGAGTTTAAAAATTAAAATGGAAGTTTCTGATTTCTGCCCAATTTCTTCTATCCTATGATAATCGCATATCAGTATTTTTATAGACTTAAAAAACACGATGGTGTTAAAAAAGAAAATGAATTTTTCTGATCAATAAAAATAAAATGAATTTTATCTTATCATTTCTGCTCAATTTCTTTTCTTTAAACACAWTCCCGAAGCCCGGAAGTTTACTAATCAAAAAACACAATTCAGAAGTCCTCCACAAAGAAAATTGGCTATCTGAAACTCCACATTATAATTCTTTCCTATTTTCATTCTTCCTAACCACACTTTATAGTTTATACCTATGGGTCGTGGATCCTCAATGAACAATTGACTTCAGACAGCTTATTTAATCACAAAGAAGGTAATACTCCAGTGCAATTGACTTAAGCCCTTTCTAATACTGTTATTTAGGGCAAAATTATAGAGCTCTGTCATTGGGATTAGTTGGAATGTTCCAACTTATTGTAACAATTTAAATTTTTTAATGTTTAATGAATTTCTTTGCTGATCAAAAAAATATAAATGAGTTTTCATTATCATCATACGAGCTTCCAATATCCTAAAAATTTTCTCTAGCATTACCTCAAATGAAGTGAAACCAGAACCAGAAGATTGAATAATATCACATGCTAACAAAATATGCACATTTAGGTACCAATTACCTCAATCAAATAATGACAAATAACAGTGTAATATTAACAACAGTAATAACAAATTAGAAATTTAGAATACATGAAATTCTAGAATAAGTCAAAATTAACATAAATTCTAAACTAACGAAAACAGCTGTTAGTTAACTGATTGCACAAGTACATACACTTGTGAATCAGCAAATCATAGAAGTACCTCATGACTTCTTGAATAGTTTTTCAGCAACTTTAAAAGAGTCTCAGCTCCAAGACAGTCACTGGTTTGCAGAAGATTGCTTGGCTTTGAGGCCTTTGATCCAGATTTCCACCCTAAATTTGATCTCTGTTCTTGGGTGCTACACTTGAATGCTACTGCAGGTAACTCCTCCCGAAGATATTTGAGCCATTTCTCAACAGCTTCTCGGGGAACAAGATCTGAAAAGAATATGTATTGTAATTAGTAAAAAGGAGAGGCAAGCATAAAGATGGACCATAATCAATGTAATGTTTACAAATCAAGTGTACACACAGAGTAACTAGAAAAGCCATTACCAATCTTATTCAGCAGCAAGACAAGATGCTTATCAGGACCAGACTTCAATACCATCTTTTCCATGTCAACACACCGGGTACCAAGGGGATCACGAGCATCAAGAACTTCTAAAATGACATCTGATGCTTCTATAACTTTAACCAACTCTTTGTAGAAAGCCCTATCTGAATTATCTGCAAGCAGTTGAGGATATAATTTTATATTTCAAGGAAAAAAGAATGACAACATAAGGAAAAGAAAATGAAATTATATTCAGCGTGGAGAATATGTTGCATGACCATTTGGTATCAACTCACCCCGGTTTCTACCACTTCCCAAGGAATTCTCACCAATGTTTTTCTCTCCAAACTTCTGTTCCTTTCCTGCAGCTGTATCAGCAAGCTGGGCTATATCATCATCCTCCTCAAGCAACCCCAATTTTCTCTTCTGGGCCTGCAAAGACATAACACACTCATTAGTTATTATAACAAAATGGATCATATCTTATTCATTAGAAAATTGAGGGAAACAACAAAGCAAATAATTAATAAAAGCATTGAATCCACTCTGAAGTTTGAAAATTACAGAGCAGCCTGGATCCGCTGACCACAAAACAGTGTACAACATCTACAGCTGCACAGTGGGAAAATCTCTTGTACTATTTATTGTCATTCACGGGGAGATGTTCCCAATGTGTGGCTGTGGTGTTATGTGCACACAAATGTGGTCAGTGTTTTGTTGTCAGAAGATCCGTGCTTGTTTTTCTTCCAACTAGACCTTATTACATCAACCAGGGCAACATAGAATTTATGCATCAATAAATGCTCTCAGACCTCAATAATGATATATCCATGTGGGTCTAACAAAACACCCTGAGTACGAAACACTGACAAACAAAAGTCCAGCAAAAGATGTGTACCACCTATAGTTCAAGAAGTACACAAGCAACTTCTACTTAGAGGGTATTTGTATGCTTCAGGAAGTCAACAGCATGTTGCACTTCTCATGGTTTTAAAAGGCTTAAGCCCTGAGGCAAGGCACTCAGATTTTGCCTCAAGGCTTAAGACTCATAACTTTGGTCCTAGGATTAAGCCTAATGTCAAAAAGAGGCATAAGACTCAAGCCTCAAGATGTGAGGATAGAAAGGCATAAGCCTCAAAAACCTATGGCAATTGAGTTATTTAATACAAAAAAAAGAATGCTTTTTTGTTTTATTATGTTTTTTGACAAGTAAATAACACTTTATTAAAGAGAATAGATACTAAGTGGATAGTACAGATATCTAATACAAGCTTCCCAAAGAGAGACACAAGGTGTGACCACTCTCTCAACCAGCAAAATAACTTTTTTTTTTGTTTTATTAAGTGTAAAACATATAGGAAGAGCACTTTGATAATTATGGGCCAAATAAAAAGATTAAAATGAAATGCTAACAGAGCAAATAGAGCTCCTAATTTCTCTTAGGGTTTTAGAAGAGTTCAATGCAACAAGGGCAAAAAAGAACCTGCATCACTCTCTCTTCATTCTTGGTTATATCAAGTGGGATTTTTATTATTATACACTTTTGGGTGACTAGAAATCTGGCATACTAAGTTGGTCTTTTTTTTTAGATTTTATCCACAATAAAATACTTTCTACCCAATTTTTGCCTCTCAATTCTCTTCCTAATGGATTTATTTTCTTTTAATTGATTTTTTCATAGATTAAAGCAACTAAGTTGTTTCCTTTCTTCTAAAATGTTGGGTAACTAGAATCTAGTATCAATTATATGAGTGATTCATTAGAGCATCTCATTAGTTATAGAAACTTTGATGATGGGGAATTTTTGATAATCTAAAACATACCATTGATCAACTGAACAATTCGAGAAATTTGGATTTTGAAACTTGAAATATAAAAGGCTTACAGTTATTATTTGTTGAATGCTAAAAGCCTAGAATTGTTATGTAGAAAGTTCTATTTTATGGATACTTGTAAATTCTATCATTCTATTTTAGTTTATCATATAATCATTTTTAAAAATCTTGACGCTTACACCTCACCTTTTTGAACCATTACTCCTCAACTACACCTTTAGCATTATTTTATTAGTAATGCCTTTATCCTTTTAAAACCTTGGCAGTTCTGCATTATTTGTCGGGTATTTGAACTTTCTTGCTAATTTATCTGCTAATTTGAATTCCACACTACCAAACTTTTATCAGACAAAGAAAGACATATATATTTTCTAATGTAGAATCTTCCACAAAGAACATCAAACGCCCATCAAGAAACTTCTGCAAAAATGTATGATTAGGCAATCCGATATCTTTTTTTTTTTGAAGATAAAGAAAAAAATGTTAAACAAAAAGAAGATTTAAGGAAGGCGATAAGCAATCACCCAAGAGATAGGAAACAACCCAATGAGAGTTTTTCGTCCGCCCATATGTACACCATGAAAAAAGGAGAGTTTTTGACTCAATGTGTCTGTTAATGCAAAAACACCATGTCTCTACATAAAATGTATGGTATTTTCAATATGATACAAAACATTTAACCAAACTTTTCAACATAAACAAACCCATGACGAAACCCAATTCACCCTCGGCCCAGTAGAAGTGCTTAACTTAAATAAAAAGATGATAATGAATTCATTGTACCCTCTCCTTCCGTGCGGCTTTTTTCCCCTCCAGCTCCTCAAGAGCCCGAGCCCTGCGAGCTTCAAGGGCCCTGAGCTCCTGTTCCTTGAAGGGCCAATCATTGGGGATGCCAGGGTCCTTCTCGACCTTGCGCTTATGCTTAAGACCAAGCTTCTTCTCTTCTTTAGCCTTCTTCTTGTGGTGCTCTTTCACCTTCCTTATGATCTTATACTTCTTCCTCAGCGGCACTCTCTTACTCTTGCTCTCTGAATCATTAAAACATCAACTGTCAGGAGAAAACAATAACAATATAACAAGTGAATACAATCTACTTGATATGATAAATTATGGAATAAGTTCACTTAACCAAATTCAACAGAGAAGTTTGCTCCCATTCATTCACTGGTTCTTAAGAACATGAAATTATGATGTTAAAAAAAGACTAACAAATAAGGATGAATTCACTTACTCTTGCTCTTCTTCACCATTTTGTGAAAACTGAAAGCCCTAGTTAGGGTTGTTTTTCCGGAACAGAGAGGGAGAGAGAAAGGGAAGAAGGAGACATGGTTTAGGGCTTAAAAAGAAAGAATGGAGCATCCTTACAAAAACAACAAACGAAATAAAAATAGTTCTAAAATTGGGGTGAGAGAGGCTCGAACTCTCGACCTCTCAGGATCACTCGAAGCTATGAGACCTACGCGCTAGCCAACTGCGCCACCACCCCGTTCATACCACTTATCCCATATCCTTCTCTTCGTTTCTCTTTCTTACAGCCATTCTTACTATTTGAAATTTGACTAACATTACCCTATTGTTTATAACAATTGATTAACTCTACTCTTATCGTTAATATCGGTTAATATTCCATCCAAACTCGTACACAGATGACATTTAAATTATTTAAAACCCAATGCTAGTATGCGACCCTTGTCTCCTTCTTCTCAACTTGGCACACCTTTCCTCCTCCAACCTCTCTTTCTTCCCGCTATCTTCCTCCCACAATCTCTGTCAACACCAGATCACCAAAGAGAATTGCACTGCATCCGTACCATATACATAGGACAAAGCCATAGTCTCAAACATTAGCTTTGTCTTGTGTATTGGGATGTCACATGCTAGCAATCACTTTGCACATGGGATGGGAAAGGCGAATCACCAATGTGCTACACCTAACAAATTTTGGGAAGATCATCTAAAACTGAAGGATGAATACAAGGAAGGTGAAAGAAAATTCCAGGACATAGTATATTCCTCCCAGCAAATGCATCATTGCGTTTATGAACCATCTCTAGAATCATCCTCTGAACTTCACTTGCAATATGTTGTTAAAAGGACTCAAGAACACAAAGAGCACACCCTTCATTCTCTTTCTTCTTCAACAATGGGGGTGTTCTGTTGAAGAAGCAGAAAACAAGTGAACCGAATAGGGGCAGCGGCAACTGAAGTAGTATGAGCGAACTAAACATGGGCGACGATAGCGGCAACCCCCCCCCTCTCTCTCTCTCTCTTCTTCCTCTAGGCGACAACGGCAGCAACCCCTCTGAAATTTGATCTTTCTATTTCTCTCTCTCTTCTTCCTCTACGCAACGGCGGCGGCAACCCCCTTCTGAACTCCCATCTCTCTTTCTCTCTCTCTTCTTCCTCTAAGCAACGACGGTGGTAACCCCCTTTGAACACCGATCTCTCTTTCTCTCTCTTCTTCCTCTAGGCGGCGGCGGTGGTAACCCCCTTTGAACTCCGATCTCTCTTTCTCTCTTTCTTCTTCCTCTTGGGCGACGACAGCGGCAACCCCGTCTGAACTCTAATCTCTCTCTCTCTCTCTCTCTCTCTCTTCTTCCTCTAGGCGACGGCAGTGACACTACCCTGTAACTCCACCCAACGGCAGGAATTACAGGGTTGTCTTTGAGCTCTGCATTTCTTAAGCCATAAGGCTCTAGACACCATCGCAAAACCAAATATTTTGGACCATAAAAGGGTAGTTAAGGCATTTTGCATGGGTTTTGACGGAGGTTAACGTTAAGAATAGAGTTAGTCAATTGTCAGAAATTGTAGGATAGCGTCAATCAATTTTCAAACAGTAAGGGTATAGTTACCTAATTAGCTAAACCATAAGAGCAGTTTAAGAAATTTACCCTTTAATTATTCAATCCACCTCATAAATTTTTATGTGTTTGTACAGTTGTAAGTGGAGGAATCGACCACAATTTAAGATAAGTATAATATAAGTGGAGTTTGGGACAATACACTCAGAAAACGAATAAAAAATTCTAAGGGAGAGTAGACCATAAATTTCCCAAAATACATAGCACTCCTATAAATCAAACTATAATGTGCTTAAGCACCGTTAACACTCGATTTTTGCTCAGTTCGCTTCCTAAACCCCCAACTCAGCCCAAACACCCAATCAGACCCATCTAACCTCTCTAAAACACCCAAATACCCAAAAAGCCCAACTTTCAACCCAAAAGCCCCCAAATCCATCGTTAAACCTGCCTGATACCTATCTGATGGACCCGATCAACCCCCACTTACACCTTAACCATTAGATCGGACACAACCATCAAACCCAAGACCTTCCAAAACACCGACATGTAAAATTTCAGCTCAAGGTTCCTTTATTTACCCCTTCATCGAGCAAAGATTCCATTCTAACACCTCTCTCAATAACCTAAACACCCGGAACTCAAATTCCCTTGAACTTGACACATCTGAACTAATCAAACCACACCATTGAACTTTGGATACATCAAAGCACTTGACCATAAAATTTCAACCCTAGATTCCCCCATTTGCCCGTCCATCAAACAAGGATTATGTTTTAAAGCATCTCATTGACCCAAATTCCTATGACCTTGACCCACTAAAGTCTGATCAAACCTCACCATCAGATCCCAAACACCCCCAAAATACCTTTGTTTACCCTTCAATCGTATCAAGATTCCATTTCAAGGTCATAGATTAACTCGAATCCAAATCTGCTTGATCTAGTCCCATATGGCTCAATCTAACCTTACCAGTCACCTCAGACTGCCAAAAACCTACCTTGTGAAATTTCACCCAAAACACCCTTATTTGCCCCTCAATTACACATAAATTCTGTTCCGAGGCTCCAAATTAGCCGAAACGAGCCCTTCCCAAATCTATTCAATCCAGGCCCATTTGACCTAATATAACACTACCATTTCGGCCAATCTCATTGGCCCGCACATGCACGACCCCACTCCGTGGTCAAACCCATCTCAACCCTCCATTTTTTTGCCCAAAAATCCCCACCATTGAACTAGAAGACCCAATTTAACCCTCATAGAACCCATTTAACCCATTTCCCCCAAAATTACCAAAATGCCACCAAATCTTCAAAATTACAAAATTGCCACTAGCCCTATTATAATTACAAACCTAAGTTTTCAATTAAGAAAAATGAACTATTCACCATCTTCTCCCTTCCAGAGGAGCAACAACAACCTTCTACGACCCCCATCTCTGGCCTCCCTTTCCCTCCTCCTCCTCCTCCTCCTCCTCCTCCTCCACCTTCTTCTTCTTCTTCTTCTTCTTCTTCTTCTTCTTCTTCTTCTTCTTCTTCTTCTTCTTCTTCTTCTTTCTCTTCTTCTTCTTTTCATTTCAGATCCACCGAGTTCATCGTCTATCGTCTCCTCCTTTGAACTGAAACTAGAGGCGACGATGACACCCCTCTCAGCCATTCTCCCCAATCTCGATTCCTTTTCCTCCTCCTCCTCCTCTTCCTTCTTCTCCATTCCCACTGCTTTGTCACCGTCGAACTAGCGACAATGAACGGAGTAGCGGTAGCGAACCCCTCCAATCACTACTAATAGGTCGCAACGGCGATTCTACTGTCGAATCATCATCTCCCTCCTTCTCTCCTCCATTTTTGGTCATCTTAATCCCCCATCCTAGTGTTGTCGTCAATCTAGCCCTAGTTCAATAGACTCACAGATCCTCTATGATTTAATGAAAATTGACTATAGAAACCGAATAGAACTCTTGGGCTACGACAGAAATTAAAAATCCTTGCGGCGTGTCAAACTATAATAATTCCTTCCATTAGTTCTCAATTGTGAGCTCGTGAATTTTGGATTTGAATAGGCTAGATCAAAGAGTTCAAATTGCAGTTGCGTCAGTTCAGACTAGGCCGACATATCCTCAGGCAAACTCCAATCTCTCCTATAGATCTCTTGTTTTCTTTTCTTTTGTCTTTATCTTTCTTTGTTTTTACTCTAATATTGCATTCAACTATCGATGGTAGTTTATTCCTTTATGATTGCTGCAATCGATTGAATGAGTGTATCCAAATTAAAGAGCCTGATTAATTAATAACTTAAGGAGAAAAGTTGGTCTTTCGATTCATATACTAGTCCAAGTATTCTCCAAGAGTCCGAAAAGTTTATGTTTCATCTCTCATCAAACCATTCAACTAACTCCGAATGTGGGGGCTCTGATGAAATGGGAAGAGAGAAAATAATCTTTCACCCTTTTGCTTAGGCCCTTACATCCAAAAGGGGATTGGTCTATGAGTACAGAAAGAAACATCCTTTCGACTTGCTGGAGGATTTGGGACTCTAGTTTAGATTGAAATTAGTAAGGGGAATCAGAAAAAAGGGAAGAGAGAAAAAGGGAAAAAGTACTATCAAAGAGAATTATAATAAAAAATAAAAAGTAAAAAAAATGCAAAAATAAAAATTGCTATTTATGCTTGTTTTGAAATCCCATGTGAGCCCCACCTATTGGACCTAGGAGAAGGGTGCCTAACCCCTTCCCTCTCCCATCCTAGTCTTACCTAGGCTGGTTTAGCCAATGCCTTGGGCTATTAGAATCACTATTAAAACAAAATGGTTTTAAAAATCATTCTCAGAGTTCCTATCACCTCCATTTCCGTAACTAATGGGTGGCGATTCCATTCCCAACCCAAGTGAGTCGTTTTCCGACGCTCACAAGTGCCCATGTAATAAAAAAACAATGAGCATTATTGACACATTCTAATTCAGTTGAACATTATCACATTCATTAAGCGCACACCACAATCAGCTTGACACCTCTATATTTTTACATATTTACAAAAACATCTACCCTCTAATTTGTATATTATTAAAACATCAAGAACATTTGTATTTCCGCTTAAAAATGATCATGTGCAAAAATGATGTTGACCAAAAAAATAGTTATATTCCCTATTCCAATTATTCCTTGGGCTAAAGCGAGATGGTTGAAGTGTTGAACCATTCAACTTGGGTTATGGTTAATGAGTCGCATTTAAAACTAATTTTAGATATGGAAGCGTATCAAACCTCAATTTGACAACAATCACAAGTTCAATATTAAAAGTGCTACTAGCATGACTTGAACCCAAGACCACAACACGCCTAGTGCCCATGAACAATACATCTTGAACTCCAATTACAAATTAAAATGAATATTTTTTAAAATTAATATTTTATAAACTAATATAATAAATAATCTGTCGAATCCACATTTATATCAAAACGTTGATTTTTAATTTCCAATCTTGGTTAATACCTGTATATTTTTTTCATTGTTCTCATTAACCATGTAATCATTGTATCTATCTGGGCTTGGTGTTTTTTTTTTTCCCTTTTCTCATATTAATACAATCTATCTGGTGTTATATTGTTTTCATGGTTCTCATTATTCCAATCTTAGTTTGGCTTAAAAATC